AATCAAACGGTGACCTCCTGATTCATAGGTCAAATGACCACTGAGCCATACCAGCAGGGTGAAAGAGTGATATTTTTATGAGAGATAATGCCTTTATGATCATGGGGGAAAACATGCTTATTTTATGAGATATGTACTGAAGGGGTAAAGTATTATGATGTCTACAACTTATTTCCTACACAGATTGAAAATATACATATAGAAATATACACATAGAGCTAATGTGTTAAATAGTAGCAATAGGCAAATTCACATAGTGGGTATATGAGCAGTCATTGAACCAGGAACTGAAGGTCTGTCTTACCTTGGAAATGTTTCTGGCTGCAAGTAAAAGACAAGGGCTGAACTTTTAACATCCATTACTTACCAAACAAGAAGTCCAGAAGGTGTCAAGTCAGGGTTGGTTCAGCAACCCAGGGATGCCATCAAGACCCTGGCTAATTCTGCCCATCTGCCTTGTCCCCCTCAGCTAATTGGCCTCTGAAGCTGTCAATTCATGAGTGTGAGGCAGCTGCTCTGGCTCTGGGCATCTCGGCCACAGCCAGAGGCAAGGGGGTGGGTGGGCCACAGCCACGTGCTGTCCTCTCCCACTAGCCTCTTTTCTCAGAAAGCAGAATCTTTCCCAGAAGCCTCAGGAGACTTTTGCTTACACCTCAGTGGTTAGAACGGCCAGAGGCCAGTTCCAGCCACAGGAAGTCTGGGCAATGGCGTCAGATGTGATTCATCCCCTTGGGCTGTGGGTGCACTGACTCTGAACAAAACTGATGTTCTGTTAACCAGAAAAAGGCAAAATGGTAGCGACTTTCCATTGGCTAAACAGATGCCCTTTTTTCTCTGGAAGGGAATTGTTCTGTTTTTTGTTTGTTTGTTTTTAACTAGCCAGCAGAAATGATTTTAAATGAAGCTAAAACTCATCCCATACTATATTTATCATGAGGCTGTTTAACAGGAAGCTAAATGGTGGCCCAAAGGGACTAGGTTTCTTGTCTTCCTGCCCATGATCTCTTTAGCCCAGTGAAATAGAAACTTTTTACCCACCCATGAAAACTATCTTTTGTTTCACTTTCAAGTTTGGTAATACATGCTAATAAACAGTTTACTTTTAAAGATGGTTCTGGTTGTGCTGGACATTATGCGGCAGAACAGAATATATACCAGTATTCATCGTAGGATTAGCCACCGTTGATGGAGTATCCTCTCTATGCAAGGTGAGTGACATGTTCTCTCGTTGATGCAAGAAAAATGTGCCTGGCTGTCACAAATATCCCCAATTCAGTCTGAGTCATTGGTCTTAATAAAGAATGAGAATATGAAAAGCTTTCAGCAACTATTTTAATTTCTACGTTCTCCCCAACCTGTGTGAGGCCATATAGTTGGATATTCTCAATATCTGGGCTCTTTAAATGAAAGCTAATTATTGTTCATGGCAGGTAATAGCCATAACTAGAGTTTCCTCTAGTTATGTCCCCTTCCCTAACCTTTGATCCAAGAGTAGACTTTCCTTTAGAAAGATGCCGCACACTCATTGTAGTGAAATGAATTCCCAAACCAGTAATAGCCGCCTAAACATCACTGGGAGCCATAGTCACGTGTTCTTGGAAGGCACAGAACTGCATGGCCTGGTCTCAGAAGGTCTTTGAGTGTCCAGAAGTCCCTCCCCACTCCAATGGCCCATTTGCCCAATGCCTTAGCATTTGGTGTTTTGGCTGGCATTGTGCTCAAATATATCCTGGCTAGCTGCTCCATTTCTGAGTATCCTCTGGGATGTGACTGGTTATGACACTGATCACTACATGGAGGGTTAGCTGCAGGGCTGGCTTGGGACAGGCCCAAGAGCCCCCTGCTCTTCTGTGTCAAAAAGGACAACCAGGCTCCCTGACTCAAGTGTCTTATTGGGGCTGCACCTGTGGCCTATCTCCCTTCAATGACCCCTTGAAGCTGTCCTATTGCTGATAGAAACCAGGTGACTGTTCTGTCTCCAAAAATAGAGTTAACCCTTAGGATAAGTATTTTTTAAATAATTCCTCCAATGTTTTATATGAAACATTTCCTTTTGATTTAACTTTAATAAGGATACATTACTTTTTTTTTTCTTTTTCAAAAGGGTCAATGTCCTAGAGGAGGGGAAAGAGAGATGGTGAGGAGTTGGCTTTGCAGGGAGTGTGGACAGGCACCCATAAGAACAGGAAGGAAGGCCGAACATAGGTGTGGGCAGGTAGGCAGGTGCTGTGATGGGAACTCAAAATCCTCTCCCACTGCTTTCATATCTCTTTAGTGACACAGGAAACAAGGCCGTCAGCTCAGCACAACAGTGAGAAAGATTTCAGGAGAGAAGTCAGGATAATGGGAAAGTTATTATTATAAAAATTGCAGTCGGGGAAGCGGATGTAGCCTAAAAGGTAGTGAGTGACTTTGAAGTGAGATCAGCTGGGGATTTGGGGGCAGGAAGGGGGTAATATACCGCTGGCAAGACCCTCTGCCCTGGCTAGTCCAGATGGAAGATTGGGAAACATTCCAGGGAATTCCTGATGTGAGAGGCCAGCTCCCAATAAGTTCTTAATACCAACTGAGAGCCAGGGGTACTGGCCCAGATCAGGCTATGATGCCAGCCAGACACCCTGCTCTCCAGTGCAGTGCCTGCCACTGGACAAATTGTCCAGTACTAGGGTGTGATGCGGGCTGCAAACCCCTGATGCCTCAGGCATTGCTGAGATGGTAAAGGACGGGGTGCCCCTGGAGAGGGGTCACAGGGTTGGTGACCTCTATAGGTGTGAAAGACCCAAGACACTGGTCTTCCAGCTCTGGGGTAGGAGGCTGGGTAGTGCTCCTGGGTGAAGAGATGGTATGTCCAACTTTGATGTCTTTCTCTGTGTCTTATTCTGCCTTTTGGGTTCCTGAAAGCCTCTTAAACGGATTGTACTTTCTCTTGAGTTATCTGGTAAATTGCTTTTTATATATACTTCTGCTATTTAATAACATTTATCATTTGTATATATGTGTTTTAGGAGCAACTTTGATCTACCTCATGAGCCTAAGATTTTTGATTTGTGTAAGCTGTGCCTTGTCCATATGGGTAAGATGAATCAAAATGAAAGTGATGTATTTTGGATCGTTAGGAGAAGTGTAATAGACAATTAGAATGCCTCAAAATAACTGATGCAAAATGTGTGTGTATTTTTGTTAGAAGTGTTTTTGAATTACCAATTATAGCACAAATAGAAAAAAGTGCATAAAACAAATATGTATAAGAAACAATTGTAACAAACAATTCTAAGTGAATGCCATGCAACCACCACTCAAGTCAGAAGCTAGGATGTAGCCAGCACCCAGGAAGTCCGTCATGGACCCCTTTCTCCATCACACCCTTCCTCAGCAAAGACGAGGAGCCATGAGCCTCACTCTTAAGGCATCCACATCCTTGCTTTTCTTTACAGTGCTGCCAGTGGGGTAGCATCCCTGAATGATATAATTTAGTTTCACTGAGTCCAAGTTTGGTATGAGCTTTCTAGAAATGAAGTCCTAACTTCCATATTCTATCGTCTTGCTTCTTTTACTCAACATTGTGTTGGTAATTCCCCTGTTGTTGCAGCTCTGGTTTCATACTTTCTGTTGCTGTACAGTATTTCATTGTATAATATGCCACCATTGATTTTATTAGTTTTCCCAAAGAGCCAGATTTTGGCTTTATTAATCCTTTCTATTGCACCTTCATTTTTCTAGTTCATTTATTTCTGCTCTTACTGTTATTATTGCTTTTCTTCTGTTTCCTTTGGGTTTAATTTGCTGTTCCTTTTCTAACTTCTCCATATAGACACTCAGCTCCTACCTATATGGATTTGGACTTTCTTTTCTAAAATACATATTTAAGACTATAAATTTCTCTTTAAGCAGTACTTTAGCTGTATCTGACAAGTGTTGATATGCTTTGCTAAACACGTTTTATAATTTCCATTATGATTGACAGTTTGACCTCTGAATTGTTTAGAAATGTATTCCTTAATTTACAAACATATAAGGGATTTCTGAATTTTTTCTAATTGACTTCTAGCTTAATTGCCTTGAAGTCAGAGGTCAACATGAACCAAAACCATTATGGCTCAATATTTTGAAATTAAGATTTGCTCTGTGATCCATTATCTGGCCAATTTCTACAAATGTTTCCTGTGACTTAAAAGTATGTGTATTTTGAAGTTGTTTGCTACACTTTTTTAAAAAATGTGTAACATTTAGTTGGAACACACACACACACACACACACACACACACACACACATATATAATATGTAAAATATATATAAATACAGGCTGTCTCAAAAAATGTGTATACACTTTAACAGCTGATAGCTCAATTTTGAAAATGAAATGTAGTTTAATAAACACTGCTTGTATAATTATTTAAAGTGTATTTATACATTTTTTGGGATATCCTATATATAAATTTAATATATATTAATATTTTTTGCTTGTTCAATTACTAAGAGGGAGGTGCTACATTAGAATCTCCCCCAATGACTGTTCATTTCTTCTTTTAATTCTACACATTTTGAGTCATATATTTTCACTTATTAGGTATATACAAAGTAGGAATTTTTATATGTTTCTGATAAATTGAGCCTTTATCATTATGAAATGACCCTCTTTATTTCAAGGAATGCTTTTTTTTTTTGCCATTTGATACCAGTGACACAGATTCTTTCTGGTTAGTATTTTCATAGTTTATCATTCCTTCCTTTTACTTTCAACCTTTCTTATTCTTTTATTTTAATGTGTCTCTTAGGACCAAATATTAGTTGTATTTTTAAATCCAGCTTGTCAATATTTATACTTTAATAGGAACATTTAGTTCATTTATATGTAATGATAATTAATGAGATATTTAAGCTAAACCTACCATATTATTTTGTGTTTTCTATTTTCTGGCTCATCATATATATTTTTTCTTCCTTTTCCTCTTCCTTACCATCTTTTCTCTCAACGTGTTTTTCTGTGTTTTGTTGTGGGTTTTTTTTTTTAGACATATCTATAGGTAACTGATATTTCTTCAGTTATAATCTCTATTGAACTTATCAATGGAATTTTAAATTTTGACTTCTATTGCTTTATTTTTCAGTCCTAGAATTTTTATTTAATTCTCTTTTAAACTGCCTACATCACTTTGTATAATTTCCAATTCCCTGCTCAGATGGCCAGACTTGGCATTTGTTTCCTTAAATCTAGTAAGCACTATTGTTTTACAGGCCGTGACTGATCATCGAAATATCTGACACCTCACTAGGTCTGCTCTATTGTCTGTTATTTATTATAGATCTTACGCATGGTGCTTCGTTTCCTTGTATGACTGGTTATCTTTGTGTGGTGGGCATTGTATTTTCAAATCATTATAGGAGAACTTTGAAACCTAAGACTATTGTAATTTCCTTTAGAGGGGATCTCAACTGGCTTCTTCTACCAGATGCACGCATAGTGGGCACTGGCCATTGGGACCAGTTTAATCCAAGTTCAAAGCTTGAGATTTCCTGGCCCATCTAGCTGAGGGAAAGCTGGACTACAAGTCCAGGTGAGGGTGGCTCACCTGAAGTTTACCCTTACATACCAGGAGGGTGGACTTATATGGGATCTCAGCTTAAAGCGGACACTGCTCTATCTCTGCCCCCATTTTTGGTGGGCATGGACTTCTAGTGTCTGACTTTCTGAGGCCACCAAACTGCAGTTTAGTTTCATTGCTGTTTCTTCTGAATCGGCAGGTATCCCAGGTAACTTGGGCTGACTTCGTGGGGTTCTCGTGGTCTCACAAGTATTCATCTGACATTTTCTCACGGGCTTATTGGCTCTTTGATGCTTACAAGATTTTAAATATATTCTGTCCAGCTTATAAAAGTATAAGTACATTATATTATATTTAAAAATGTTACAGCTGCACTACATGAAAGTATAATTTTGGTGTTCTGGCTTTAAGTCCTGCCCATTACATGTCCTTTGGGTGAAATGCATCTTTCTGGTTTTTAACTTTGTTCCTCTTTTTTAGGTCAATGACTAACACATGCTTTGCTTCTGCCGCCTTGCAGGAAGACCGGACGTGGCACTTTGCCATGTCTGTGTCCCTGACAGAATCATATGGACACAGTGTTCTCCTCCCAGCATGGTTTGGCCTGGTGGTGGCTGGATCTTTACTAATATTTGGGGTCTTAATTGGTGATTGGATTGACAGGAAACCAAGAAATAGAGGTAATACTCTTACCTATGGCATATACAACAATGCGGTGAATTATGATCTCACTTGCTCTTTTGGTTTATTTAGTGAAATGAAATACAGATCTGAACATAAGAGCAACAGAGTACAGCTTTTAAAAACTGGAAATAGACTTATTCAGCTTCGTGTCACTCTCTGGTACTACATATTATTTTTATTTGTTTAAAATATGGAACACTTTATGAATTTGCGTGTCATCCTTGCACAGGGGCCATGCTAATCTTCTCTGTATTGTTCCAATGTTAGTGTATGTGCTGCTGAAGCGAGCACTCTGGTACTACATTTTAAATATTTTAATGTAGTGTGTAGGTTCTTTCCCATCACAGATTTTTAATATCAAATTCCTTATTTTAAAAGAATTCTGGTATTACCTATGTACAAGATACTCGTGTCATTTTTCTTAAAGGCAATTTCTAGGTGTCAGAGATATCTTTGTACCAAGTAATCTGTCTAGACTAGGGATTAACATCTGGAGACTTATTTGTTCAAATGCAGATCTCCTTTTAGCTCTTGGCTCTACTATCTTTGAAACCCTCCTTTCTCCAGTGAGAATGTAAAATTTCCCACGTTTTCCCTTCTCTTCTGATGACTAGTCAACCTGATTGTTCTCTGTCCACCGAGAAGGCTTGGAAAGGCATTCTCTGGAGCCACACTCTTCAGAAGGCTAACTGACTTAGACTCTGGAGTATTGGTTCTTAGGCCGTATTGAGAACTTCAATCACAGATCAACTCGAGAAGCGTGTGATATAGCAGTAGGAAATTTTAAGTCCTTTCACTTTTCTGGTATCCTGCTTTCCGTGTCGTCTTTCTCTCAAAGTCTGTTTTTGTTTACTTGCAAAGCCCAGTTTTTTCTCCTGTTTTCGTTGCAAAGACTTTGCCTCCAGTGAGCCCATGAGCCTGCACTGTGCCTCCTGCACAAGCCCGCAGTTGCTGATAGCAAGACCACGGTTGGCACAGCAATTTGGGCCAATGCAGTTACTCTGCATCAAACAATGAGGTGGCTGCAACCTGAATCTGAAAACCAAGAGTAAATAGTGTTTCCATCTGCAGTTGCTCATGCCTCGCTCTTCACTCTGAATGCCTCCGTAGCCGCTGGCTGTGTTGTGCTGATGCTGGTATTCTCCTACAGAGGGGAGATGACGCAGACCTGGCACGGCTGCTTCTGGTTCGCTGTGAGTGTCCCCACATCCCCCTTGCTCCACCAGAGTGGATGTCGGAGGTGAGGCCTGAGTGCCCGTCAGTGAGTCAGCTCTGCACAGCCTTGCTCACTGGTTTTGGATCTGGCTAGTCTTTGCCACTGTTCTCCTCACCCCTAATTTGTGAATCAGAGCCCAAATTCCACAGACATGAAGTCAATAGAACAGCAAAGTCTCTGTCTGCAAAGTGCAAATTAGCATCGGATCTGGTGCCGACGGGGTGGGAAGAAGAAAACGCTTAGAATCAACACAATAACGCTGGGCTCCAAACCTACATTGAACCTCTTTCTCTCAAAGGTTTTTGTGTTCGTTTAGCTCGCCCTCGGGCTGTCAGATAAGTAACTATATGTACCACATGGGCCGAGGAAGTACCCTGGCAGCTCTGGCAAACCGGGCCGGCAGTGCTGACCATCGCCATCCAGCGGGGCTGGATTGTGAGCCTCACAGCTGACAACAGAGGCCAGCTGGCTGGTGAGCTGTGCCGCCCTGGGCATCACGGGTCCTCGGGGCCAAGAAGTAGGCCTGGCTCAGGGAACACGGTTGATGAGCCAGCCAATCAGGTCTCTGAGAGAGGCAGCGAAGTAGCCTAGAAGAGAGGGCACTTGGAGTCCAACAGGCCTAGATTTGAATCCAGCTAAAACCAGCTATGGCTCGTACCAGCTGCGAGTCACTTAACTTGTCCAGACTTCACTTTTCTCATCTATACAGTGGGAGGAATAATGACCACTCCCTTCCCCCTTCCGCCAGCCCAGCTTGGGGTTGGTAAAGCCCCTGGCACTATATTTGCTCACAGGAAGCACTTAAGAAAGGGATGATATTGTTGTTATCAAAGGGATATATAAATGGTACTTTGAGGAACAAAGCCCCTCAAAATACATCAGAGAAGTTCCTTGGCCATTTTAGAGCTAGAAAAGCAGTGCACTAACAGCATTTTCAAATTCTGGCCAGTGATACGCTTCCACATCCCCCATCCCCAAATTCAACCCCAAATGTGACGGTTGATCTTCACTTATGTGACAGTGAGAGGCAGAATTTTTTTCAGTAATGGAGCTAAATGGAAGAATCTGGCATCTTCTTTCTTTTTCCTTCGTTTATGAAACTTGGATCTTCTTTCTTTTTCCTTCGTTTATGAAACTTGGATCTTTCACGCTGCAATGTGTTCAAATTGCCAACTTAAAGCTGGAGCTTGTGGTCTACCCTGCATTTGTGCAGTTGGTCCCCTCAGCTAGAAAGTGTTCGTGAGCGTTGAGAGCCAAGATAAAGGAAGCTATTGTGGGGGAGTCTATTAAAATATACTTCTTCCAAAGCCCCTTATAATCATGCTTTCTTTTAAATTGCACTTCTTTGGCTGTCGTGTGGCTTAAATAACACCATCCAAAATAAACAGCTCTGTGGTAAGAGCCGGGTGACGCGGCGTTGAAAGTGTCCTCGGTTTCTGGGGAAAAGAAAATCTTTCTAGTCTCTGATAATTCATCTTAAAGAAGTCTAAAATAAAGCACAGATTCCTGCTTGAGGTTCATTATAATTTTAAAAATGATCTTGTAAATATATTCTTCAATGATGGTAGAAGAGTTAAGAGCAAAAGCTTTGGAGTCAGACTGCCTGGGTTGAAATCTCAGCTTCTCCTTTTCCCGTCTCTGTGACCTTAAGCAAATAACTTCATCTCTTTGTGCCTCAATTTCCTAACCTGTAAAAGGGAGATACCATCAACTTCTGAGAGTTGTGAGGATTAAGTGGGACAAATATATGTAGGAGGCTTAGAACTCTGTGCCTGGCAGAGTAAGTATTCAGCCAATTCTGTCCTTTATCTCCATTCTGTCAACATGCTGGTCATAATAATGTCTATTGATATTATTGTCGTTGTTAAGACAGTACAGTGTGATAGGAAAGAGTGCTGAGACAGGAGTTGAAATAATTAGCTCCACAAAACCTAGTGTCTCCAATCCTCAGTTTACCCATTTTTAATTGTTCAGATTCCCACAACTGATCCTGAAGGCCTTTTCCAGGTTGAAAATCCTATGACTGACTAATCTATAGTTAGACTGAAAGGAGAACCTTTCTCGTTTCCACCATCGTTCACCCAGTACATGGGTCGCAAAGCCAGTAAGTGCACGGCATTTTTTCCCAGGAGGAAGGATGGCAACCCAATGGCTCGCAATGTTTCCTTCCTCTCACATACAGGGATGAATGAGGCAGTCTGGCAGCTGGACCAGATCATCAATATATTTGCTTCCCTGTCCGTGGGCCGGGTGTTGACATGGGCATCTCCTATGATCGGTGGTGGTTTCATTTTTGGATGGAACTTGGTTTCCCTTCTTGTAGAGTTCCTGTTTCTGTCCAGGGTTTACCAGCGAGTTCCCCAGCTGGCTGTAAAATCCCAGCAACAGGCTGGGGGGCCTTCCTAGAAAGGCAACAGGAGGCTGTGGACATTCAAGGTAATGCAAACTCAGAGACGGCTTTTGTTTTTTCTCTCCTTTATATCAGTGTTCTGTGTCTTCTTTCCAGTGCTTGTGTCTGAGCATAATCTCAACTGGAGAAAAAACACATTAAATTTTTTTTTGTAAAAAAAGGTGCATTGATGTATGTGTTACTACTGATGGTGGGTGCAGCCCCCCAGGGGCCCTCTCAGAGACTCTGTTGGGCATACCTCCGAATTCTCTCACCAGGCGCCAAGGAAACTGGGGTGTTTCTCCACCGAGTCTTGTCACTCATCAGTCGAAGGTTGTTCATAGGGACATTGACCTCTGTGCACATTCATCCTGCCCTTATGTCCCTGTGGCTGGAGAGAGGCCCTCTGGCAGAGACCCTGGTGCCCGGGAGAGGAAGCCATTGGTGCACACAGGACTTGTCCAATAAAGAAGCAGATGGGGGCGGGAATGAGCTGAGGGTGTTTGGGCAGGGCACTGACATAAAATTTATTTGGATTTTATTTTAGGTGAAATGGACCCTTGGGAAGCCACTGATGGATTCTTAAAAAAACCTAAAACTTTGGCCCTAGCTGGCTTGACTCAGTGGATAGAGCATTGGCCTGTGAACTAAAGGGTCCCAGGTTCGATTCTGGTCAAGGGCACATGCCTGGGTTGCAGGCTCAATCTCCAGTAGGGGGTGTGCTGGAGGCAGCCAATCAATGATTCTCTCATCATTGATGTATCTCTCTCTCTCTCTCTCTCTCTCTCCTCCATTCCTCTCTGAAATCAATTAAAAAAAAAAAAAAGAAATGGGTGGAGTGGGAAATGTGGTGATGGTGGAAGGAGTGGATCAAGAACCAAGGATGTCTTCCTCACTCATTCAGCAAGCATCCTGCGTACTGCCCCGGCATGCCTCACCACAGCTGCAGGCACCAGGCTTCAGCAAGCCCCTTCCCTCTGGGGGCTCGGAGCTTCACCTTCCCACCTCTGCGGCCACACTCGTGGGAGCATAGGGTTGGGTGATACGTTTCTGATTTCTCCATGGAGACCAGAGCCCCTTAGTCCACAGGAGCTTTGGAATATTGGGAAGGAAAATGTAAGTTTCGTAGGTCCAATTTAAGAGGTTATAAAATCATGGGTTAACCTGGGAACCTTATTTCTCTGATATAATACATACAGATGCATAAGAAATTTTAGAGAGTGGAAGGGAGAGGGAGGGAAACATTGATGTGACAGAGACACATTGGTTGGTTGCCTCCTGCACATGCAGGGAATATGAGCCTGCAACCAAGGTACATGCCCTTGACTGGAATCAAACCTGGGACCCTTCAGTATGAGGGCTGACACTCTATCCACTGAGACAAACTGGCTAGGGCAGAAACTGTGTTCTTAATCCCAAATAGCTGAGCTAGAAACCTGTACTTTCATATGGAGATTGCTTAACCTTAACATTATTTTTAAGTGGGTGGATCATCTTTATTGGGGTATTTGGCTTGCACTTCCAGCTGTTAATTGTATGAACAACTGAGAACAGATTAGCGATTTTAAGATTTATACAATTCGCATTATATTATGATACTCAAGTATTTAGTTCAAAAGAAAGAAAAATAAGTCCACCAGTGACTCTTGTCTCCCTGACACAAAGGAAATGATCATATTTGGAAAATGTGAGATTTCATCATCAATGCCGGCAATTGGGAAAAGCATTCAGTTAGTATGAGAGAAACTTTAGGCTTTTCTCTATTGCAATAGTGGGTTTTTTTTTGTTGTTGTTGTTGTTGGTTTGTTTTGCTGACCCTTGGAAAGGATCCAGAGGCACAGGACACTACGGACACTTAAGAGGGAGACAGCTCCGGACGTGGAGCCAGGCAATGCCTGCTGATGCTGGCGAGGTGCCTAAGCTCTCCGTGGGCTGGTTCCTTCTCAGGGATGGCATAGTAGTGATGGTGCCTACCTGTCAGGAAGGTCCTGGTGGTGCACTAAATAATTCCTGTGGGCAGTGTGGTCCCAGGGGCTACTTGTTAAACATGGATATTAACTCTCATCTTTAGTCATCATCATCATTCTTATGTTTTGGCTGCAGGTTCAGCGTTTTCATGAGCATTGCTGTGTAAGGGTGGAGTGTGGGGTGCGCAGGGAGACAGAGAGAACCACAGAGTTGAGTGAAACGGATGCTGAGTGGCTCCCCCACACTCAGTGCCAGCAAGGTGCCATTTACAATTTGAATTACAGATGACCTTGGGGTTGGTGGTGAGCTGCTGAAATCGCACGTGTTGAAAGCACCGGTGCCCAGGGCGCATCGTGCCCTGGTCCGTGTGGTTAGCACGCCAGGCCCGGTGGCCGTGACTCCTGTCCTCTCACCTGGACCAGTAGCCTGTGGCCTGCCTTGGTATCCACCAGGTATCCCTGAGCACAGGACTCATTCTAGACATTTGCTCAGTAAATACTGGTTTCCATTCTGATGGAAACTAAGTCACAGAACTTTGGCTACAAAACAGTTTGGCACATAGCCCATAAGTCGCTTTGCTTTCCAGAATCTAAGAGCTATCACTCTCTGTGCCCCTGATTTAGAAATAATTCTGTCACTGCATAATTAGCCCTCAGTTCTCTGAGCGCTTTGCATTGTTCTGCTGCAGCCAGTTCCCAATACTCCTAACGCTGGGAGCACTGCGTGCTCAGGACCAGGCATGGGGTTTACAGATGCGCTCGAGGTCAGAGTGCAGTGTGGCGCGAAGCCTTTGGCAGGCCAAGCCCCGAGAGACGTAGTGGACATGCCAGGGTGTCAGGACAGCCCAGAAGGAGGACAAGGGCATCCCTCTAGGACCAGGGGTGGGCAAACTTTTTGACTCGAGGGCCACAATGGGTTCTTAAACTGGACCGGAGGGCCGGAACAAAAGCATGGATGGAGTGTTTGTGTGAACTAATATAAATTCAAAGTAAACATCATTACATAAAAGGGTACGGTCTTTTTTTTTTTTTAGTTTTATTCATTTCAAACGGGCTGTAGTTTGCCCACAGATGCTCTAGGACAGCAAGCCTGTACAGTGCTGCAAAGGCAGACACTAGAGGACACAGCATATTTGCTCCCCATATTTCTTTCTTTCTTTCTCCTAATTTTATTGCTTTTCAGAGAGAGGAAGGGAGATAGAAACATCAATGATGAGGGAGAATCATTGATTGGCTACCTCCTGCATGCCCCCTACTAGGAATTGAGCCCACAACCTGGGCATGTGCCCTGGCTGGTAATTGAACCGTGACCTCCTGGTGCATAGGTCGATGCTCAACCACTGAGCCACACTGGCCGGGCTCCACATAATTCTTGAGTTCAGAGTTTAATCCAGGGATCAGAACAGAGAGTAGAAGAGGATTCTAAAGGACCAGAGCTAGACCATAGGAATTCAGGCCAGCCGGCTGGTAAACCACCCAGGCAGCAGCTGGGAGCCAGTGCCCATGGAGGCACCAGGATCCCAGGGAAGATGCCGTCATTTCAGGGCAACACTGTCATCAGCACAGTTGGCTACTGCCCTGGTTGATGTCTGTGTGGCAGATCCTGAGGCTGCCTCTGGAGTGTAGTCAAACTTAGCCTGTGTGTTGAAGTTGTGGGGTATATAGAGGAGGCCAATTCCTTATCTGCTAAACCAGGAGTGAAGAGGAAAACTCTGGAAATGGATTTGAAACTCAAGACTTCACTCTGTTTCCTAAACATGTTTGAAATGCACTGGAAACCATAAATAAATACATCCAAAATGAAGATTTTGTTACCTAGTGACGATGGTGGTAATGGTGATTCACAAAGATAATTATAATACCACAAATTAAGACAGTAACTACATGTGCAGATGGCCATGCTACACTCTTCACAATCTCCTATCATGTAATCCTCCAGTGAGACAGTGCTCTTAAATATTCCCATTTCGCAGATGAGGAAACTGAGCAACAGAAAAGTTCATTTAGACAATGCAGTGCAAAGGCCGGAATTCTCACTAAGTCTCCGCCACCTGTTCACATCTATTCTGTCCCCTCTGCTGCTGTCCTGCAGGTCTCTGGTCCTTTGACCTCTCTGTGACTCAGCTTCTTCAAGAGAACATTCCAGAAATGGAGCGAGGGGCTGAGAACGGCGTTTAGTGCTCCCTGAGCTCCCTCACGGGCCTCACCCATGTCATCCTCGTCATGTTGGCCTCGCGGCCACAGCAGCTTGGCAAGCTGGTCTTCACCTCCACACTGTGTAACCACAGGGCACTCGATGTAGTTTCTTTACGCAAGGAAGTGCGAGATTAAAAATGCCCAGGCTCAGCAGAGAGGAAAGATGCTTCAACCTGAGAGGCAGCAGCATCTCTGACTGCTCAGAGCTCTAGACACACGGGCCCTGTCTCAGTGTTTCCAGTGATTTCCCTGCACTGCTCCTGGGGCCTGGCCTGCCTTGTCCTCCTGCTCCATTGGAGAGCATTTGTGTCTCCGGTCACCTTTAGCCAACAGCATCGACTGTATTCAGTGCATGTTTGCAGTGATGGACACTAGCCAGGACTTGAACAGCGTCTGACTCACCGAGCGCCCATTAACTGAACTCAGATTCCAGCACACAACCTGAAGGGTTTAATTTTGCCAACATGATTCAATGTTTCCAGGTTTTTATTGTTCTTTGGGTTCTAAAATTAGAATCTTCTGGTCAATGTTAAAACCAGAGCGGTGGAACCTGGTCCCAGTTCCTTGGGCGTGGGTTCATGTTCTACAGCTGGTCTGTGAACGTGCCTCTGATGGGCCCAGTGCCCCGCAGGAGCATGGAAGCTACTTGTCGAAGGACAACCTTCGGGTGGTTTCTGGACTAGGGCCAGGACAGGGGTCTGGCAGTCCCTCAGTGGACCTGGCCAAGCTTTGCCTTAGCAGTCAAGCCAAGACCTCCAGTTTGACCAGCTATGATGAAGAAAAACACTAGTTTGTGAGGAGCTAATTCTGAGCTTCTGGCCACTTATAAACAGTCACCATGAAAACTAGCGTCTGAGGAGCCTGGAAGAAAATCCCTGTAGCTCTTCCCGTGAAGTCATGAGCTGCTATTCCGCAAATGCTGTGATACAGAAGTGAGGACACTGAGGCCTCAGTGCAGAGCACCTTTCTGCATGTGGGAAAGTCACATTTGGGGAGTGGAGGTGGAGGGTACCCCAAGACAACTGGCCCCGGGCAGTACAGATAAACTCCACTCGGGGGTCTTCTAGTCATGGTTGCACAGTCCCAGATTGTGCTAAATCCCTGTATCACAAAACATTGCAATCGGAACTTTTCAGTTTATGAATACAAAAGTAAGTTTTAGAAAGGCAACCCTTTATGAGTACAAAACAAAAATAAGCCTTTCAAACGCATCTCTGGCTGTTGATCTGTTCACACAATCCCAACATGGCTTTGCTCTCAAGAGCTGTTACTTATCCCAGATGCTGGCTTGACCATCAGCAGAGTAGGTCCAGCCTCAGGGCTCACTGACCAACTGACCTAAGTCTAGAGTCAAAAGCATGCCTCCACTATCTCTAGCTCCCCTTTCATTACCGGGACAATCTTCTCTGTTCTACTTCTCCCTTCAAGGTACTTGAGACCATGAAGGGGAAAAGGCATCTTCTCATTTGGGTGCTAAGGAGCCTGGAATGCAGATGGCCCT